GTGTGTGTGTGGGAGAGAAATAGTTGTGAGGTGCTGATATAAGCACACAGGGCCTGTAACAGCCAACAAGAGAGAGGCCAGTGATGAAAGAGAAAGCTTAGAGCCAGGAAAACTAACTAGTTTGTCTTTGCAACACTGATCCTCCTGCTGGCACTTAAAATTCATCATCCCCTTACCTTTCACTTTCCGGTGGATTATTAATGTCATATGGAAAATAAGTACAAGCACACCTACTCACCGGCAACCAATCTGCACTCGGCGGAGTGTAGGGGTTGCTTTCACTTGCATCATTGTTTTTTTTTTGGCTGACAAAGGTGGGAGGGTTACATTTAAATTGTAATCCATTAACAAATCACCAATTGTAGTTTGGAAATTGTCATGTGAGCCACAAAAGAATTCAGGAGCAGAGAAGGTGAACGGCTCCTCCGTTTTGGATCATGCATATTGAAACGCTCCTCAATCTGTTTGACTTGCACCCAATGCACTGTTGACATATATTACAATACAAGCAGAAAATGCTTAATTCACCCTTGAATGATCGCAATTAAACAGCGTATTTCCTCCGAATTACACCATCTACAACAGGCCGATTTTACCGAAAGTCTGTACATTTTATAATCTCCCACTATTTTAAAACAATAAGATTAAACAAAGCCTCTTGACTTTGGATTGATTCCCAGGGCCGCAAACAAACGCTGACTTCAGAGGAATGCAGAAAAGCAGGAACAAATGCTTAGACGAGTACGAGATGTGACATTAAATTAAAGCGACGGATTGCTTGGCATTTTCCCGAACAACAACTAAATCAGATCAGGAAATGGACACATGATGAGGTAATGCAGTGACCCAGGTGATGAATGACATATTGATGCGAAGGTAAAAGCGAATGAAAAAGAGAGAAGAGGATGGGACGAATGGAGCGCTCTCTTACCCGTGGAGGAGGGCTGGGCCCGGAGCAAGTATGAGTCGTCCGGGTGGGGCTCCAGGTGAGAGTGGGTGGAGTTTTTCTCCAGCAGGGGCACCTGGCATTCCCTGATCGGTGGAGACGGGCCGGGGGAGGGGTGGTGGGGGGCGGACGAGGAGGACGGGAGGGACGGAGGGAGCAGGGTGGAGGAAGAGGTTGGAGGGAGTGGGCGACCTGGAGGATGGAAGGGACAGAGAAGAGGGGGGAAGAGAAGGACGGAGGGGACGTTAGACAAAACAGATGGCACTGACTGACAGTGATACAGAGGCCTGTTCAGAGAGGCAGGTTTAATGAGGTATGTGGATATCTTTGATGAGCCAATAAAAGGGTCAGTTCACTCAAATTACAAAGAAAAAGGGCGATTTTTCTCTCTGAAACCACCTCCAAGCCGTTTCAGTGGAGGCGAGGAGACATTAATGGCTTTATGTTGGAACTGCTTTCTAACAAATATGTAGCTCCTCTGAAAACAATGTGCTTTGTGGAGTAACTACACTTAAAAAAAATAAAATAAATAATAAAAAAAAACTGTGAAAATCTGGCTGCAAGAGTGCCAGAAAAGGCATGCTAAAAAAACCTTGCAAAAACTGTAGAAATAGTGAGAAAAGTGCACATATTTGGAGAATAATTATATATTTTTTAAGCTAAGTTGAATACAGTTAAATTAGATTAACTGTAAAGTCTAACATTGAATTACAATTTATTAAAATATAGTTTTTTTCATGTGGAAATCATTTTTTGTAGAGTTTTGTAAATTAAATTAGTTTTTATGGATTTACATGTACATTTAAACTTTTTTTTACATTTTTTATCTGTGATTTTACTCGTTACTATCTTTAGTTTAAGAAAACTGGGAATTTTTTCTTCAAGAACAGTCTAAAAACGTACAAAAATATTAATATAAACATTATTCTTTTTTTTTACAGTGTGGTGTTTCTGAGAAAACAAACAACACGACTTTAAACGTGTATGACTCAAAGTGAACATTTGGCTGGGGGATACTGCAAAACCCAAACAAACGAAAACCTTTCTGACAGGATGCGAATAAGAAAGTGTGCATATATTTTATTGTTTGTAATTTGAGTAAAGCAGTGCTTTAAAATCCGCAACACGGATTTAAAAAAAAAAAAAAGACCTGCTGCAGGTTGTACTCAAAGATATCCAAGTTTAACTCGTGGGTAAACTTGCTTNAAAAAAAAAAAAAAACCCGCAGCATCAACCTTCATTGTTTTTCATGCACCTTGTCTCCGAGCTAATTGCTATGCTCCCCGTGTTTTAAGGTGGTATATTCCCATGTGCCGCTGCTTCTGCTTCATACGTCCTCTGTCTCGGAATGTCACATGCTCCTCATTTGTCATTCTTCTCAGAGCGCCGAAGAAGGAGAGCTCGAGGTGAGTCGCGCACAGAAGCTGACAAAGAGGGTTAACTATCATGTAGGTTTTTTTTATTATTATTATGCACAAGATTCAATCACTAACAGGCACAAAAATAGAGATAAAAGTTACATACATTTGCACACACACACACACACATATATACATACGCCTCCTCTGCCTTGGCTAGTCATCTCTGTCTAATTAGGAGGCAATAATCCGCTAGAGAAGAGTCATCAAATTCAGCCAAAAACAAACACTCTCCATGAGCAGAAATGCATGCGTGCATTTCACCCACACACACACACACACACACACATGCATACGTCTATGTGCGCGCGTGCAAAAAAAAAAAATCACAAATCATCCCACTGCTGCGCAAATGTCACCCTTACATAAGCACCATTAGGAAAAATAACATTAGTGGAGAAGAAGGGAATGTGTCTTTGTTGTGCCTTTGTTTCTGTAGATTTGTTTCAACAAAGCCATTAAACATTCATTGCTTCGGCAGTGACTTGAGGTGGCTTCCCTGGCAGCGGATAGCTAGCCACTTTAGAAGAGGCTCGGGCTAAAAATAGCTTAGTGTTCCCCATGCATAATGAATGGCCAGAGACAGCGCTAACGCTAGCTCTTTCCAGGAGCGATCTGCTACGCTCCGTTTGGCCGTCTCAGCTCTCCTGGCGTTCCGAGGGAGCGTTCCCAGACAGGTGCTCCGAGCCAGACAGTATTCCCATATAAACATTCACAGACCAATTCCCAGCCAATCCTTGGCAACGCTCGTTCCGTTCCCATTCACCTGTCATGCTTCACTAGGAAACACAAGTCATGTCTGTCCACCTGTTAGCTTAGGTAATGGTGGACTACTTTAGAGGAACACACACAAACACACACACACATGCGCGCACATCCAAACAGCATGCAGCTTCCTGAGGATTATCTCGCTGTGGTCAGTTTCTGCCTGGCTTGGTAAGGCTCATTTCCTGCCCAGCATCCACTCTCTACAGGACCACACCGAACACACACACACACACATGCGCTTCCACGGCACATGCATAAACAGTTACTGGTTATAGGTGTTTTATTTGCTCGCAGCCTTCCTACATGCCAGTGTATGTTTACGCAGTGCCAGACTGCCACTCTAAACTCATTTAGGTCGATTTTAATGGATGCCCAAAGCCAAGGACTCACTCTGCACCCATTAGATCAGCGGTCCTGGCTGGGAAATGTGGCAATTTGCAATTTCATCTCGATGTTGTTCTCCCTCAGTCCAAATATCTCGCTTTCACCCTCTAAGCTCTCATCAGTTCACCCTTTTTTTTTTTTTTTTTTAAATTCACATTTCCCCTTTTTCTTCTTTGTGTCTTTTGACTTCTTATGGTCTCTGTCTCGCTTTTTCAGCCCGCTTTTTCCTCCATCTATTTTTACTGGTGCGCTTTGGATGCTTTCTTCTCCCTTTCCTTTTTGATTTTTTCATGCAAGATGTCTCATTAAACAACTTCAAAAGTCAAAGTTTGACTTTCTCTATCTCTGCTCCCATTTGCCTCTTTGTGCCTCTTTTTCCTGCTTCTCTCTCATTTTTTTTTTTTTTTTTTTGCCTTTCTTTGTCTCTCTTGCTCGCTGTCTGCGCGTACATGCTCAGCAGAGACTGAAAAGAAGCCCCAGAACAGAAAGTGTGGGTGTATGCGAAACAAGAATGAGAGAAAGAGAGAGTGTGCCTGCAAGCCTCACTCTCCCTCTTTGCCAGTGTCTGCCATTAGGGTGTCAGTGGCAGAGTGAATTTATTTGCTGTGCGGTTACTGGGCTAATGATTGATGTTGCCCCAGCAAACAGTAAACCAATTAGAAGGCTGATGTAACGTCATTTTAAAAGCCTCCTAATCACGTTGCTCTTGAACCTGGGACCCGGGCCTTCCCTAATGAAGATTTATACTGGATCAAAGGAGAGCCTAACGCCATTAACAATAGATTGTATTCCACCAAAAATCACATTAGGACTTCTCTGCCCACCCCTCTCCCTCCCATCAGGCCTCTGCTAAATATATCTGCTGATTACAAGTGCAGATGCACAGAGGAATGGAAGAAACAGGGGAGGAGCGGGAAAGGGAGGCAGAGAGGGACAAGACAGGCAGAGAGAGTCGGTCCACGGTAGCTAATTGTTGAGAATAAATGCGTATGCTGATGAACGAACTCATCACTGCAGATGTTTGCATGTGTGTTTATGAATGTGTGTGTGTGGGAGAGAAATAGTTGTGAGGTGCTGATATAAGCACACAGGGCCTGTAACAGCCAACAAGAGAGAGGCCAGTGATGAAAGAGAAAGCTTAGAGCCAGGAAAACTAACTAGTTTGTCTTTGCAACACTGATCCTCCTGCTGGCACTTAAAATTCATCATCCCCTTACCTTTCACTTTCCGGTGGATTATTAATGTCATATGGAAAATAAGTACAAGCACACCTACTCACCGGCAACCAATCTGCACTCGGCGGAGTGTAGGGGTTGCTTTCACTTGCATCATTGTTTTTTTTTTGGCTGACAAAGGTGGGAGGGTTACATTTAAATTGTAATCCATTAACAAATCACCAATTGTAGTTTGGAAATTGTCATGTGAGCCACAAAAGAATTCAGGAGCAGAGAAGGTGAACGGCTCCTCCGTTTTGGATCATGCATATTGAAACGCTCCTCAATCTGTTTGACTTGCACCCAATGCACTGTTGACATATATTACAATACAAGCAGAAAATGCTTAATTCACCCTTGAATGATCGCAATTAAACAGCGTATTTCCTCCGAATTACACCATCTACAACAGGCCGATTTTACCGAAAGTCTGTACATTTTATAATCTCCCACTATTTTAAAACAATAAGATTAAACAAAGCCTCTTGACTTTGGATTGATTCCCAGGGCCGCAAACAAACGCTGACTTCAGAGGAATGCAGAAAAGCAGGAACAAATGCTTAGACGAGTACGAGATGTGACATTAAATTAAAGCGACGGATTGCTTGGCATTTTCCCGAACAACAACTAAATCAGATCAGGAAATGGACACATGATGAGGTAATGCAGTGACCCAGGTGATGAATGACATATTGATGCGAAGGTAAAAGCGAATGAAAAAGAGAGAAGAGGATGGGACGAATGGAGCGCTCTCTTACCCGTGGAGGAGGGCTGGGCCCGGAGCAAGTATGAGTCGTCCGGGTGGGGCTCCAGGTGAGAGTGGGTGGAGTTTTTCTCCAGCAGGGGCACCTGGCATTCCCTGATCGGTGGAGACGGGCCGGGGGAGGGGTGGTGGGGGGCGGACGAGGAGGACGGGAGGGACGGAGGGAGCAGGGTGGAGGAAGAGGTTGGAGGGAGTGGGCGACCTGGAGGATGGAAGGGACAGAGAAGAGGGGGGAAGAGAAGGACGGAGGGGACGTTAGACAAAACAGATGGCACTGACTGACAGTGATACAGAGGCCTGTTCAGAGAGGCAGGTTTAATGAGGTATGTGGATATCTTTGATGAGCCAATAAAAGGGTCAGTTCACTCAAATTACAAAGAAAAAGGGCGATTTTTCTCTCTGAAACCACCTCCAAGCCGTTTCAGTGGAGGCGAGGAGACATTAATGGCTTTATGTTGGAACTGCTTTCTAACAAATATGTAGCTCCTCTGAAAACAATGTGCTTTGTGGAGTAACTACACTTAAAAAAAATAAAATAAATATTTAAAAAAAACTGTGAAAATCTGGCTGCACGAGTGCCAGAAAAGGCTACTAAAAAAAACCTTGCAAAAACTGTAGAAATAGTGAGAAAAGTGCACATATTTGGAGAATAATTATATATTTTTTTAAAGCTAAGTTGAATACAGTTAAATTAGAGTAACTGTGAAGTCTAATCTTGAATTACAATTTATTAAAATATTGTTATTTTTATGTGGACATCATTTACAGTTTTGTAAATTAAATTAGTTTTTATGGATTTACATGTACATTTACACTTTTTTTTATTTGATTTTATCTGTGATTTTACTCGTTACTATCTTTAGTTTAAGAAAACTGGGAATTTTTTCTTCAAGAACAGTCTAAAAACGTACAAAAATATTAATATAAACATTATTCTTTTTTTTTACAGTGTGGTGTTTCTGAGAAAACAAACAACACGACTTTAAACGTGTATGACTCAAAGTGAACATTTGGCTGGGGGATACTGCAAAACCCAAACAAACGAAAACCTTTCTGACAGGATGCGAATAAGAAAGTGTGCATATATTTTATTGTTTGTAATTTGAGTAAAGCAGTGCTTTAAAATCCGCAACACGGATTAAAAAAAAAAAAAAAAGACCTGCTGCAGGTTGTACTCAAA